CACTGTCTGCAGCAGCAGGTGGTGCCTCTCACGTGCTATGTGCAACACTCATAGTCTGTGTGGGGTTGTGCGTGCGCCCTTGTGCCCAGCCTGCTTTGGGTAGTGCCTGGCAAAGGGAGAATGGCCCTCTCTGGGATCAGACATGTGTGGGGCACATTGGAAAGGGTCCAGCAGAGGGCAACTAAAATGATTAGGGGGTTGGAGCACATGACCGAGAAAGGGAGGCTGAGGGATCTGGGTCTGTTTAGTCTGAAGAGTGAGGGGGGATTTGAGAGCAGCCTGCAACTCCCTGAAGGGAGGATCCAAGGACAGATGGCAGAACAAGGAGCAATGGGCTCAAGTTGCAGTGGGGAAGGTCTAGGTTAGATATTAGGAAAAACTATTTCCCTAGGAGGGAGGTGAAGCGTGGGGCTGGGTTCCCTGGGGAGGGGGTGGAATCTCCATCCCTAGAGATTTTTAAATCCCGGCTTGACAAAGCCCTGGCTGGGATGATTGAGTTGGTTTGGTCCTGCCTAGAGCAGGGGGCAGGACTCAGTGACTCCTGAGGTCTCTTCCAGCCCTGGGATTCTATGATCGTATCCACGCTTAGCTGTCTCTTTTCCAAACCAAAATATCCCAGTCGTCTTAATCCCCCCTTCTGTTTCATTCCCCTAATTGTTCCAGTGGCCCTTCGCCGCACCTTTCCCAATTCCAGCATATTTTGCGGGATGGGGTGACCTGACAGTCAACAATATGTCTGATGGGAGCATGTACCATGGATTTATACGGCGGCTTTATGATTCGGTGTCTCATCCATCCCTTTCCTAATGGTTCCTAACATCCCAGTAGCTCTTTTGCCTGCCGCTGCACTGAGTGGAATTTTTCAGAGAACTCTCCACAGTGGCTCGAGTGGTACCAGCTAATTTAGACCCGACATTTTGTACGTGTAGCTGGGATTCTGTTTTCCTACTTTGCATTTATCACCTTCGCTCTCAGCCGCACCCTTATTGGCTGACACCTTCTGTAAATTCAAACACCCCCCTCGTTTCAATCCCTGGGGAAGCACTGTTTCTAGCTCCCTCTAGATACACAAATCAGCCAGCTGCAGGCTCTCTGTGCTGAGGGATCGGGCATCACCCGGCAGGCCCAGTGTGCTGCAGCGTATCTGGGCATCCAAGGAATCCCCGCTAGCAACCAAATGCTAACTCCTCACTACCTGTCCTGGGAAGAATGCCCCCGCCTCAGCAGCGGTGCACGCACGCAGTCCCCACGCTCCCTGAGCACACCCGACGCCGAGCTACAACCAGCCCAGCAGGGAAGCCAGTCGCCCACGACACGCGGTGCTTCTCGGAGGTCAGCAGCTCCTGTCCGCAGCCCAGCTCTGTGAAACTCCCCCCCCCCCCCAGCATGTTCGCAGCCGTCTCTCGGCCCTTTCCAGTCCCAGGTACATGGGGGATGGGGTGACCCAACTGTAAGTGGGGGGATTCAAACGATCCCCGTACCAGCCTGGAGACACGGTCTCCTAGTAACGATGGGGTAGGCCGGCAGGTCTGGCAGGACATGCAGGAACGCTGCCCGCCGTGGGACCTTCCTCCACCATGGCCTCACTTCCCCGCTTAGCCCTGCCAGGACATCCCCCCCCCCCCCCGGTGGTCTGACCCCTCCAGCAGCGCAAGCTCCCTGCAGACAGCCCCCCACACCCGCCAGCCAGTGGTTCTCAGCCACCCCCAGCCCCTGGCCATGCTGCGCTTCTCGCCAGGGTGCTGGGGGCTCCAGAGAGCCAACCCCCGGGGCGTCCCTGGGCAGGCTGGCAGAGCTGAGTTACCCAGGGCAGCTGGGGCAGAGAATGGCGCAATCTGCTGCCTTTCACTGGCTTTTGCCATTCTTGGCCTGGTCCGTGACAGCCCACGGCTCCCGCGGGGTCCCCAGAAGTCTGCCTGGGCACAAACCTGCCAGCTCTGCTCCCGTTTGTGGCCTCCCACGGCACAGGGGAGCCAGGTGGCACTGGGGGGAGGGCTGGGCAGGCCACATGCCGCTGCACTGGGTGAAACACTCACCACTTTGAGGTTTGCTTCCTGCAGTTTTCTTGCTCTCTCCTCCAGACGCTTTGCGATCAGGGCCAGCTCCGCGTTCTTCCGCTTCAGGTGCTTCACCTTCTCCTCCGTCGCAGGAAAACAGCTCTTCCGCTGTGCAGGGAGGGGTAGGGTAGGCTCAGCCCTGCTCCTGTAACCCACTCCCCTTCTTCCTCGTAAATCGAGGGTTACAGGCTCTCGCGAAAGAGGGGTTTTCCGACATTTGGCCCCGTCTACACGGGCCCAAATAGCGGCAAAACCTCTTCCGCAAAAAGCATGGGAAGGAGATATGCAAATGCGAGCACGATTTGCATCTCTTTTTTGCGGAAAAAAACAGCAGTGTAGCCATAGCCTCAGAGAGCCAGAGCTGGCATTAGCAAGGACATCTCTCATGTTCATCTGCCTTTCCTTCCGACTCTCGAGAGACCACTGCTGGCCCACCATGCCGTCCCATCCATCACCACACCCTCCCCATCCCTCTGGTTTCCAGGGATTTTTCTCCACCTATGTTAATTCTGTTTTCTCAAATTGAATCTCCTTTTATTTTCCTCCCACATTTTCTTCTCTCTAAACCCCATTTTTGTTATTATTTATCTGTCCCCAGCAATAAGCTGCAACTGTTCCCTGTCTCCTGTCATCTGGCAACATCACTCATAGGCTGCTGAAAGAGCCAAGGAAGATGAGCCCTGAAAGCCCCCC